ATTCCAAAAATACTTGGATAATGAAGTCATGTACCTATATTCACTGTGATTAAAGGATTGCATATGCCCCCGCCAGCGTTCCTTGAATGTTTTCATAGTAGAACCAATGTAAAACTTCTTTATATTTGGATTTTCAATTGTTGAAATAGTACCAAGATAGACTACAGAAGTAATCCCACAGTTATTTTGTAGTGGACAATTATTCGGATTCCTATATATATATATATGAATAAATATAGTTTTAAGGTGTGCTATATTTATGGAATAAAGTGCTCAATATCAGCGATAGAGCGTCTAGAATCAAACAGTCTGTCGCTTCTGAGTGTTGACTTCAATGTTCACTGTTATATTTCTGTACATGTGCGTGTGTGTGTGAGTATATGTAAAACTTTCAGATATAGCCTATCTGTGAAAGGAAAATATGTTTAAAAACAAAAGGGAAACCTATCATTGTCGACGTGTTCCGTCCTCTGAGGGAATTTATCAAAGCAAATGCAAGGATTTTTTGTAATATTGGTACCCTTTCGTTTTACACTATTAATTTAATTTATTAACCAGCCTATCCATTTATATATCCATATATATATATATATATATATATATATATATATATATATATATATATATATATATGGGAAAGGTTCGACCTATTTACCAATATCTCATCATATGAACAATACAACAATTTTTGAGGTCATATCTAGGTCGGTCTGAAAAAGTTTCCGCACATATTCGTGTAAATATTATAGATGCGCAAACACACAGACACAGTCACGTAACAACCACTTGCATATATATAAATACGCGCACGTAAGAAGCACTCTGTAATTAATGCCTCCAGTTTATTTCAATTTATTTCAGTGGACCCACAATGGCTACTGAGCCATTGTGGTTTCCACTGAAGCATGGTAACTCCCTTGAATATGATTTTAGCTAAAAAAAATACATTTATACTTTCTTTAACAGCAGTGCTGACATTGTCGGGAAAATATTCTTGTATTCCCCTTTTTCATCAGTTCGAACGTCGCTTGTCCTGCACATCGTTTTGGCCATTGCAATATTACGTTAACACCCCCCCCAACGTTGTTCGTGTTCACTTTCTGGTCATCCTTCTGTAAGAATCAATGAATGTCAATTGGTGCCATTTTATCCCCCTAGGGGATTTAAATGACAACTATTTGCTTCCTATGCGCTACATTATTTAAAAAAAAAAAAATGCCGCTCAATTGGTATTTCTTACAAGGCGAAATATTTTTATGTTCATACATTCTTTTTATAGATACAAATATTTAAGTAAATGCTCTGTTTATAGTAGTTTAAAGTAAAATCGACCTTACTAACCGAACGTTCCTCTGTGTCCCAATCGGTTAAATGCACGTCAGGCTTTATGACGGTTCCGTATAGGATACAAGGTCGATTCCTGTCGGGAGACGAATATTTTCTATGAAAATTTCTCAGACATTCAGGACGGTAAATGTTGTTTAATACTGTTTATTATAAACAACATTTACTTAAATATTTGTATCTATAAAAAGAATGTATAAACATAAAAAGATGTCTTAAAATAATTGTCAGACTTTGTCTATTTCATAATGTAATATATATATATATATATATATATATATATATATATATATATATATATGTATATAGTTGGGTTTGATGGTTATCCTTCTGTCTTACTGATTTAATTTATTTATATCTAATTTCGTCCTTTTTGTAACAGCTGACGTCTTTGATGTTATCGTTCTGCTTGCATGTTCCCCACCGTTCCAGAGACTTTTTAAAGGGAAGACATTCTTTCACTCAAGCATGGGCGCTATTTTTTATAGCGCTTCTTCATCTATCAACACAGTCTTTCAAGATACAAACTGGGCTTGTCTATTTATGAAGAAAAAAGCCAACAACTTTATCGTTAACGAATACCTAGGAAAACATAATCTTTGTAATATAACGCTTTGGAATCAAATATAGATACAAGGTAAATAGAACAGTGAAGGCAATTTATCACTTGTATTTTCACTGATGTAGAACAAAACGCATATGTCACTTTTCGATATGATACCCCCCCCCGCCCCTGCACGGAGATGCACTTTTGGTATCGTTCGACGAGCTTTTTTGATCCATTCCAAAAAGCAGTTCGGTTGGTCACGTATACGTATCTGAACCGCTCCCTTGTTTGAGAACCCAACGCGCACAAACTGTTACGGTACCCCCAAGTTAACATACACTATGGCTTGTGCAGATTCATGGCTGATGACCACCTTTGCCGGCACGTGATATATCGGTTTTCCTGATCAAGGCATCCATGCCCTGGATGTGTTCTTCCGTGCGCGATGTAAATGGTCAACAAGATCGGCTTTCTTCCATTACACTTGTTCTCGCCGTTTTGAAGCCTTCTAGCCAGTCATGCACTTTTCATTGGTTCGTGGTCCTGGGTATGGAGATACATTACATCCGACAGCAGGCCAATGATCCGAAGATTGAGCCGTGTGGAACCACCTCTTAATTGCTGTTGTTCCCAGGTCTAACCTGATCCGAGGTAGTAGCACCTGCTAGAGACCCAGCTCTAAACAAATAGTGAAACCCTAAACAAAAATCGACAGTACATTTTTATAATGAAATGACCAACGATATATTTTTTATACTAAAATTACAATCAATACAGCACTGAAGAAAAAAAAATTTATAAAAAAAATTACCAGCAATACATTTTAATAGTGAAATAACCAGCAATACATTTAAAAAAAAATTACCAACAATAAATTTTGTCATCTAGAATACTATATATATATATATATATATATATATATATATATATATATATATATATATAGCATAATGAGAAGCCACGTATACTTTCTTAATATGTATATATAGAAAAAGTTGGAAATTAAAAAAATAATGTTTTATTTTATGAAAATATTTTTTATTTATATATATATATATGATATTTGAAATATCAAATATATATATAAATAAATACTATATATATATATATATATATATATATATATATATATATAAAAACATAAGTTTAGCCTGAAAATATAACATCGTGTACAAAATATCTACACCTGAAACCATAAAATTGCGTTCAAAATATTTAAATTTCGGGATTAAATAACTCATAGAGATGTTGATAAACAAAATCAAATCAACCAATTAAAGAATACTGCGCCAACACCCGGCTATTAATTTCCATAGGTTTGACTCCCACTGCCCACGTACTATGGCTCGTTGTTGCTCGAATGGAGCGTTCATACACCGGATGTCTTTGCACACTGCAACCCGGATGAACGATGGAATGTTACGCGCAGCTGGCTCACCGTGATCCCACGCGGACATGTGGTGTCGCGCGTCCGGTGTTTTTTTTTTTTTACCGCGTAATTTTAAATATCTGATTAAATAAATTACAAACATTATATCGGCTAATTTTTAGCATAATCCGTTCATATTCACGGATATTTTTCCGTGTATTACAATCATATGATGCAAGAAATACACTGTAACAGTGAAAATCACTTTTATTTCGCAAGTATTTTCCATCTCTTTCTGAGGTCATCATCAGAGGTGCAACTGGTAAGGCAAAAACTATATGTAGCTATCGATTACTGAACTTTTATTTTTGCGTTTAAATGCAGCGGCTTACAGTTATGCTTTACCAGTTGCAACCCTTGTTGATATCTATATATAGTAGTGAGCTGCATATCAAAGATTCCGGTGGGAGGCAAGACCCTAGCGCCGGCCTTTGACCCGAGAATTGAAGAGGTCATGGTCCTTATCATGCGGGACTCGTGCTGTTCTACAAAGGGAGAGTTCTGAGAAAGAAACTGTGCGAGTGAAACTTCTTATTTACCAATGGAACACGAAGGGAAGGAAGATGATTCAATCATATGTATGTGGTATGATGGATCCTAGTTGGGACTGTATACTTGAGCTCCCCAAAGAGCGAGATGTGGCACAAGGCCGGTTTAACGTGGGTTTTTCCAAGCTCGTAGGCATGGGCAAAAATTCCCCGTAGATCCCCGTAATAACGGTGTTAGGTTTGAAGACCTCCCCAGACGAGATTACTCTTCCGCATAGCCTCGTCTAGATTCCTCTTTGCCCGAAGGCAGAGAGCTCGACAAACACTAAGAGCTTAGCGTCGTCTAAGACCTAATGCTAACTCTGTATATACCCGAGCTCACCACAAAGTGGGATGTGGAACAAGGCCGGTTTAATGTGGGTTTTGCCGAGCTCGTAGGCACGGTCAAAAATTCCCCTTAGACTCCGTAATAACTAACTCCTCAGACGAGACTCTGCCCTTCGACATAGCCTCGTCTAGGTTCCTCTTTGTCCAAAGGCATAGTGTTCGACAAGCGCTAAGAGCTTAGGACGCATATAAGAGATAATGCTGACTCTCCTAAACTCCGCTTATTTCCATAAACGGACGATTCCATTCATTTTGACAAAAACACAGAAGAAGCAGATATTAAGACGTTAAGAGAAACAATGCCTTTAATGTATATATTACATCCGGTTCATTACAAAAAGCAGCTGATTTTCTATGACATGTACTCTTCTGTTTGTACACGTTAAATTCTTACAACGATACAACTGTCCAGATCTTTATGTGATCTTTGTAATACGACGAAACATATACAGATGCACGCACTTCTAATTAATATGGCTGTGTGTGTCATGAATGAAATAGTTCTGACTATCAATCATTGGTTGGATGAGCAAGTTCTCTAATTTGCATAAGACTTTTTTTTTCACTCATTCTTTGTTGAAACGTGTGCAGCCGATCTTTCATGTTGAGAAGCTTATGCCGTCGGATTTGTAAGGCGAAACCAGAAACGACTAGAATACATTTCAACACAGAGATCTGAGATGGTGTTATGAATGAAAATGAGGTGTCAGTTTCAAATATCGTGCGTAAGTCACGTGGGTAAAAGGGCATTTCCTTCCGCTGATGAACGAAAAGTTTCAGCTCACTTGCTAAAAGGCAAATTCAATCATACAGGCGGCACAGGCAAGGGGAAAAGAAAGTAGACAAAAGTGAAAGAGAGAGAGAGAGAGAGAGAGGAAGTGATAATATAGAAAGAGAATATATATATATATATATATATATATAGAGAGAGAGAGAGAGAGAGAGAAAGATAGATAGATAGAGAGAGAGCTAATGACTGACGAAAAAGAGAGGGAAATAAAAAAGAGAACAAAACGAGAAAAATTCAGTAGAGAGAGATAAATATAAAGAGAAAATGAAGGGTAAATAGAGAGAACTAAGAAAGAAAGAAAGAAAGAAAGAAAGAAAGAAAGAAAGAAAGAAAGAAAGAAAGAAAGAAAGAAAGGTTGGGTAAAGAAAAGAAAGAAAGAAAGAAAGAAAGAAAGAAAGAAAGAAAGAAAGAAAGAAAGAAAGGTTGGGTAAAGAAAGAAAGAAAGAAAGAAAGAAAGAAAGAAAGAAAGAAAGAAAGAAAAGGTGAGTGAGTTAGTGAGTGAGTGGATGAGAGAAATAGTGAGGGAAACAGAAAAGAGAAAAAGCAAAGATAGAATTACAAGAAAGAAAGAAAGAAAGAAAGAGTGAGAATGAAAAGAAAGAAAAAAAGAATGACTGAGTGAGAACGACAGATATATATATATATATATATATATATATATATATATATATATATATATATAGAGAGAGAGAGAGAGAGAGAGAGAGAGAGAGAGAAATGGAAAAACAAAGGGAAAACGACTAACGGGAAAATAAAACAAAACCAGTGAGTGGGTGAGTGAGCAATTTAAAAATGAAAAACTGCTCACCTTCCCTCAATATCGTCTCGGCAAACCTATTAATGTTTTACTCTATTTCAGCTTATGAAGCATTTACAATTGACATTTATGGGCGCCTGCTGTAGTGCAATGGTTACCCACTTAACATATTCAGTCATTACTTGTAGGCGTGACCGCTACGGTGTCCTGGATCTAGAATAAAGCTACGCTTGGGGAATATTAACTTAGGAAGCCTATTTTCTTTCCCGTGTGAATACTCCCTAAAATGGTACCTTGTGCCAGATTCTACAAGCTACGTAGACATCTCAGCATATTTAACCTCCTTCAAAACCTTTCTCACAAAGTTATTGTTTCCGTCTTTCATTTTTTTTTTCTCAAAACTTTTTTCCCACCATTCCCGCCACTTCCCTCCTGACTGGGTTCCTACTAAGCCTGTAATCAGTAGATTCCATGACTAATGATTACTTACCACTAATTACAATATAAATGCCAGTCAGAGAACACCTTTACTCTCTCTACTGCTTTTACTGTTTGCTTTATTTCTTTTGACAGCATTTTTTGTGGCCTTTGCTCAGTGCAATGTCACAATAAAAGCCTCTGCTTTGTTATTGGCCTGAGTGTTACTAAAATATATTTTGTTATTCTTTTGTCAAAATGAAGATTCATTTGTCCGTTTTTGAAGGTTTGCAATTTTCATTATTAGTGTATTAAATAAAATCTATCTATCTATCTATCTATCTATCTATCTATCTATCTATCTATCTATAAACCTATCTCTTTATCTCAGTCCAGAAACGATTGGCCATCTTGTATCAGGTTCCAGGGTGTTAACACCGACTGAATGTAAAATCCGGCATGACAGAGTGGGCCAATGGAAAATATGCCACTTTTATGGGAATTAAACTGCAAGAAATTGGTATGGACATCACCCAGTCCCGGCTCCAAAAATAGGACCTGTAACAATTTTATTTGACTTTACAATACACACAGATAGAGCAATCAAAGCTAATCACCCAGACATCGTGATCAGAGACCATAAAAAGAGTGTGACTTCTTATTGACAAGGTAATCCTTGCAGCCTGTAATGTATCTTTGAAGGTCTTAAAATCTATTAAAATGCAAGGACCTTGATGTTGTAATCTCAAAAGACTGGCACATGAGGACATCAACAATTCCAGTGATAGTTGGAGCCCTCAGATTGATTTGAAAAAAGTTCTGACAGAATCATTGAAAGTATCCTTGGCAGCCCAGACCTTACAGAAATACAAAAGATTGTACTCACAAGTACATATCACACCTTACGAAGGGCTTTATCTATGAAAATGTGCGTTATCTTAGGGGTTTTGATGGGTTTTTTTATCAAAATGTACTAAGTGGAAAATGTCAAAATGCCAATTCTGACCATAGGTCTCACGTTGGGACCCGGAACTAAATAAGTATGCAACAGAAATCAAAGGAAATAATAATAATAATAATAATAATAATAAATGACCTGATGCTACACCGGACATAGCCTCCCATGACTTCTGATCTGTACATGTTTATCTTGGTGAATTAAAGTGGATTACAACAAATACCATGTGCAGTACAACAAATTTGCTTGTCGGTTGCATAATCTTAACCAGTTTGTCCACCAGAAAACGTTACACTGCTCATCTCTGTTCATGAAGGGGAATAGTAGGAATGCGTAATGGCCATGTCTCGAGAAGGTTATAATTTTTTTACTTATTTTAACGATGAGGCAGCAAGGTAAACATGGGTACTTAGTAACACTCTCAATTGGGGACCTGCTTACAGCCACATCACCATACGATCACCGAAGTTAAGCAACGTCTAGCTTGGTTAGTGCCTAGATGGGTGACCGCTTGGGAATAACAGGTGTCGTAAGTTTGGAAGTGGGGTGGCGTAATGGATTATTGGAGAGCTGTATTCCAATTTCAATTAGTTTTCTAATACTCCAGCGCAAATACAAATTGGAAAAGGTATGAATCCACCTCTTCTTCCCCACCAGCTTTGGGTTAATTAGTAAGATTAGTTTCGGTATTAAATAACCCATAGAGGTATTGATATGTCGCTACAACCAAACGGGAAGTGATTAAGCGAAATCGGTTACTTGACATGAAGGAATTACTAACTGGGCCCAAGCTGAAAGATTATCTGCTGATTTTAGCAAAACCTTTAACTATATCGCGGACTTCTGTCCGTAATGCATGTGGTGCTTTTCCCCGAGTAGCTTAATGTGGCACAAGGCCAAAAGTATGGAGCACCCAGCGAAGAACAAACTCACTACTCGGTCGTAAGTTGATCTAGTGAGATAAGTTTGCTAAACATTAAGCCACGCTGAGGTGCTCAAACCGACGGAACATTACGATACGACGCAAACATAATACCAATGGACGAGAGCGTCACTGTCTGCAATTCATGTGACTAAAATGCTCTCTTTTAACCGGGTTTCATGATGGCTATACTGGGTTTTGTATATTTGTGCCCCAGTGTCACTTTATTGGCGTGCTGTTTGCTCACTCAATAATAATAATGATCCTTACAACTAGTGAACGATAGATTGACGGCCCAAATTGAAGTCCTGTATTTTAGCGCGCGTCGAAGCGAGGCAAAAGGAATTAAAGGCGTACATGGTATTTAGATACGGAAATTGGCCGTTCAAACTGAAGTTAATTCTATATAGAAACAATTTTCTTTTCTGCTTTGTAAATATGTTAGTTGACGAGGGACATAGAGAAATTTGCGTCGATCGAACGACAAGAAATATTAAATTGTCTAATATAAAGAAAATCTGAAATACTATTGGAGACTATGGAAGAAAGAGGCAAGGGTAATGAGAAATAGAGAGATCGAGACGAGTAATTAACCAATTTGAAAGGAGTACGGTGGAGTAATGGAGAGCGGCTCAGATTGAGGAATCGGAGAGCGGAGTTCGAGTTCCAGCCAAATTCATTACATTTACTTACGTGCTAATACCCTTGGGAACGGTATGAATTTTCTTGTTCTCCCCCTAACTATAGGTAAATAGCAGAACAGACCAGATTCTCTAGCCTTGGATCGCAATTGGTCTACCACGATGGCAACCTACTGCGGGAAAAATCTGCCTCGTTAGTCATATATCGAAAGATACATGATCGCCTAAGCGTGTATCACGTATGGCACACAACTGATTCACCTGGCGGTAAAAATATTAGCTTGAAATATTCTTTCAAGTAAAAACGATTCGAGAATTAAGTTCAGTTTGAACGGGCAATTTTCGTATTTGATTTTCGTGTATTTTAATAAGAAAATGGATTTTCCTGTACGCCGGTTCGAACCCTGCACGAAAGTACAGTTTCTTTATTGATCACTCGAATGCACAGTCCGATAAACGTAATTTTACATTGTTTGAAGCACATGGATGTCTACTCAAACTATATATATATATATATATATATATATATATATATATATATATATATATATATATATATATATATATATATATATATATATATACTACTATTACTACTAATAATAATAAATATACATTTTGTTTCTCACCATTGTCTCATACAATGAGAAAAAAATATGTATTTATAATTAGTATAAATTTAGCTATGTTATTTTACGCCGGTTACTGTTTTATTAGAATTTACTGTTCATATATATATATATATATATATATATATATATATATATATATATATATATATATATATATATATATATATATATATATATGCAACTTTTATATCTATTATTTATATATCATATATGCGTGGTACTTATTGGAAAGTGGTCAATATAAGTGACAGAGCTAACATATTTAGTTGGATTGATGTGAGTTTGTGACCAAGGCTTTCTACCTTTTTTGAATACAGCTTTGTATTCCTGTCGGAGAACGCATAATACTGTTTAATTAAAAAATCACAGCATTTACTTATATAAATTGTATCTATAAAAATAACGTATAAACAGAATGTATGTGCGCGTATATATATATATATATATATATATATATATATATAAAACTTAAGTCTGATCTCTCTCCCGAGAAATCTTTTTTAGCAGACTGTATATATTCGCTAAGAACATGTTTTCCCGCCCATCGATCAAACCAGGCATTGTATATGGAGCGATAAAAAAAGTTTAACGAAAGAAGAAAAAAAGTTTCATTTGGGATTTTTTAAATGTTTATTTTCCTCTCTTTTCACTGTTTCTATTCTCTCTCTCTCTCCCACTCTCTCACTCTCATTAAAGCACCCCCTTTCTTCCTATTTTAATGTTTATCCTCCCCTCTTTTCTTTCTCCCCCCTCTCTCTCTCTTATTCTCTTTAAGGCATCCCCCGCGTTTTATTTTAATATTTAGCTTCCTCTCTTTTCTCTGTTTTTCACTCTCTCTCTCTTTCTTTAAGGCACCCTAGTCCGTTTTATTTTAATGTTTATCTTCGTCTCTTTTTTCTGTCTCCCCCCTCTCTCTCTCTCTATCTATCTTTTTAACACATACCCCTCCGTTTTATGTTAATGTTTGTCTTCCTCACTTTTCAAAGATTTTTACACACTCTCTCTCTCTCTCTCTTCAAAACATCCTTCTCCGTTTTATTTTAATGTTTATCTTCCTCTCTTTTCTCATTTTTACACTTTCTCTCTCTCACTCTCTTTAAAACATCCCCTCCCTTGTATTTCAATGTTTATTTTCCTCCCTTTTCCGCTCTCTCTCTCTCTCTCCTTAAGTCATCCCCCTCCGTTTTATTTTAATGTTTATCTTCCTCGCTTTTCTCTGTTCCTCCTCTGTCTCTCTTTCTAAGGAATCCTAACCGTTTTATTTCAATGTTTATTTTCCTCTTTCTCTCTCTCTCTCTCTCTCTCTCTCTCTCTTTAAGGCATCCCCTCCGTTTTATTTTAATGTTTATCTTCATCTCTCTCTCTCTCTCTTTCTCTCTCTCTCTCTTTAAGGTATTCTTCTGTTTTATTCTAGAATAAGAGTAAAGATTTCTACCTTGTGAAGAGTTTGTCATCTCCAGTTCTGCGAATTGTGATTTCTCTCATCCGTTGACTTTCTCTTGATATCTTATCTTTTTCATTCGATAGTTTTCGCCTTTCTCGACATTCCCGTCTTCCTTGCTTTTCCTTTATCGATAACTTTTCCCTTTCTCTGGACTTTAGTCTCCTTATATATTTAGATAAGTCCTTCACTCTTTCTCTCTCTTTCTCTCTCTTTCTCTCTCTTTCTCTTCGCAGTGTTTCAATAATAATAATAATGATAATAATGATTATAAATCAGAAATGTCGATTGTAAAATCAGTTTGTTTCTCATAGAATTTGAGTTACAATAAAATTTTGTATATAAATACAGCATCCTACTCATAACACTGTTCGTTAACCAAGCCTTATATCTATCTATCTATCTATCTATCTATCTATCTATCTATCTATCTATCTATCTATCTAAATCTTTACATTATCTACTTTACCCTCTGTTCATTATCTATCGATCTATCTCGTTCTCCACACATCTATCTATCTATCTATCTATCTATCTATCTATCTATCTATCTAAATCTTTACATTATCTACTTTACCCTCTGTTCATTATATATCGATCTATCTCGTTCTCCACACATCTATCTATCTATCTATCTATCTATCTATCTATCTATCTATCTATCTATCTCTTTTTCTTTTCCACTACTCTCTGTCTGTCTTTATCATTACTTCTTTGCCTTCCCTGTTTATGTCTCTTTCTCTCCTCTACTCGCATCACATTCAGAAGAACGTTTCTTCGGAATCAGAAGATAAGATTTAACTATTCATGATGTTGACAGTTGAGAATTTGCCAGTGCTTTTAGGGATGCAGGCTTTTAGCGATAGCTGTGAAGATAATATCAGAGTCCCACTTACCCTGCCGAAGCACTTGAAGCGGTTCGTCTTGTCTGTGTCTCCGGATACCGGTTCATCTCCTAGCTAGCCAATCAATTCAATCAAGCCTAAGCTCTTAAGAATTTTTCTAGTTCTACAACGACTTTCTTATTTTACAATTCAAATTCTCCTCAATTATGCTGTGATCAGTTGTTACGTAGAAAAACTGGGACGCCTGTCATAGTGCAATTTTTACGAAACAACCACAAAAAAGACAGAGTCGACCTCATTACTCAGTAGCACGTGTTCTTGCGAGGCAATTTGCTAATTATTACACCAATCCAAGGTGCCATATATATATATATATATATATATATATATATATATATATATATATATATATATATATTTTACTGACAAGAATTCTGTCCAACTTGGCAAACGCTAAATTATATAATTTTGCACACACACACACACACACACACACATATATATATATATATATATATATATATAATTATTTTTAAAAAATATGATTCCATCGCAGTTAACAAATAATTAATAGGCTCTACTTATGTATTGAGCACTTTTTTTAAAAAAAAAATGACAAAAATACTGAAAAGCTTTGGATTATTAACGTAACGGTTCTTTCCTATTTTTCTATATATTTGCACACACACACACACACACACACATACATACATACATATATATATATATATATATATATATATATATATATATATATATATATGTGTGTGTGTGTGTGTGTGTGTGTGTGTGTGTGTGTGTTCTGAACGATAAAAAATATTGAAAATTTAAAAAACTAAAATTTTTAGACACACTCGGTTGTATATTAATATTTTTTGTTTTATTTCAATGAGGTTCCTCGACTAGTTTCGGCCAGCATGGCCATCATCAGGAGAAAAAAACCTCTGCTTGTAAGTAGCAGTGAACTACAGAAATGATTTTAAAAGCGATGCCAAATTCACTAATTGAAAAATAGAAATAGACAGAAAAGATAACATTAGAAAAATTCTAGA